GTTCGCACTCACGTTAGAAGGCTCTCTCAGTGGATTCTGCGTCTTTTTTCTCCCAATCTCTCAGGTTTTGTAAGGTTTCCAATGGCTTCAGATCTTTTCTGTGTGATGTATGGGCGCGAGTGCAAGTACGGAGCTTCCTACTTCTCCGCCATCTTGCCCTCCCTCCTCCACTAACTTTTTAGGATGATAATCTCATGAGGGCAGTCCAAGTTTGGCAACATTCTTACTGGCAACCTCCTTGTCTAAACTTACTACTGATCAAATTCCATCACCTGTAAAACCCTCAGTCCCTCACTTGCCCCCTCACATACCTTTGAAAACTCTGGTTGCCCAGCGAGCTTGAAGTTCAACAGTTGGGAAAATGGAGCCTAGGGGCTGGATGAGACCAATGCATGCCAGAGTTGACTTCTCCAAGTGAGGAGGGAACATGTATTTATACAGTGAGACCATATTATCCTCTACTTTAACAAGTGAATCTTCAAGGAAGGGAAAAGAGAAAGCATATCCTGTTGCAAAGACAATGACATCAATATCCTTCTCCACCGTTCCATCTTCAAAGATTGCTGAAGTTTCTGTGAGCTCTTTCACTCTCGGTTTCACTTTGATGGCTCCATAGAGTATACGACTTGGAAGATCATCATTTATTACAGGTTCTTTCATAAGATATCTGAAACACCAAGAGGAAAACATTCAGAAGGAACATTTAATAAGGAATCTTGGAACTCTCTTGATATTTTATGGGGTTGGCTCTTCAAATAAAGAAGTATCTCAAATATCCAGAAAACTTTATTTTTTAAAAGAGAGGAGGAGAAGGAGAGGAAGACAAAGTCTCTACACTCAGCACAGAACTTTATGTGGGACTGGATCTCAGAACTGTGAGATCACGAATGGAGGCAAAATCAAGAGTCAGTCACTCAACTGACTGGGCCACCCAGGTGCTCCTATCCATAAAACTTTCTAACTTGATGAGTTGGTCTACTCCAAACCTTACTATCTTGATGACTTTATTCTTATGTCACAAATCTTTCCCTCGACAAAGAAGGGAATGCATGTAAGTGATGTGGGTAAAAGACATTTCAAAAAAAGGTGGCATCCCTAGGGACTTAAACAAAATATGAGTGTCAATCCCTGAATATTCCAGTAATTATTATCCCATTGATATTTCCATCATTGTTTTATGTTATCTGCCTTTAATTATCATGCTGTTCCATTTAATCTCTATCTGATCATAAAGTAAGAAAGGAAAATTTAGTTAAAGTCCCATTAGTTTTGAAACTTTATTAAGGGATTAGTATTATAATTAATGTATAAGACGAAGTTTGGGGATATTTTTCATTCCAAATATCCATGGAGTCTTTGTGTGTGATACCATGCATGATAAAGTACGGATGTATTTCTGGAATTCCTTTTTGTAGATTTGAGAACCATTTTTTAATATAAGAAAATACATGCTACACGTATCAAATATCAGAACTGAGCAGTCATATGGCGTTTGTTGAAAGATTCCAAAGCTCTTCTGTTTTGTGTATATTTTTTAAAGTAGGCTTCACACCCAGCGTGGAGTTCAATGCAGGGCTTGAACTCACAACCCTGAGATCAAGATCAGAGCTGAGAGCAATATCAAAGCTCAGATCAAGAGCTGGATGTGGGGGCACTGGGGTGATTCAGTCTGTTGTGAGTTTGAGCCCTATGTCAAGCTTTCTGCTCTCAGCACAAAGCCTGCTTCAGAGCCTCTGTCCCCCTGTTTCTCTGACCCTGCCCTGCTTGTACTCTCTCTTTGTCTCTCTCAAATAAGTACACTTAAAAAAAGAAAGAAGGAATGTTTAACCAACTGAACTTCCCAGGCACCCATTTCTGTATTTTTTTTAAAGGGAAGGAGCCTGTTATCACTAAAGAAAAACAAACATTCATAAGGTTTACTCATGTTTATAAGATCAGTGATATATGACTTTGAACTCAATAGAGATTTATTTTTTGGCAAAGAGATAGTGAACATGTTCTCAAAAGCTGCTCATAGGAATAACCCTTATGGTATACTGAGTTAACAAAGCATTAATTCACATGGAGGATTTGGGACACATGTCCCACCGCACCCTTCTGAAAGGAAGGTCTCAATCTCCTAAAGCAGCCTTTTCCAAGGCAACTGATGGAATAGGAGAAGATATTTGCAAGTGACATATTGGATAATAGGGTAGCATCTAACAACTATAAAGAGTATACCAAACTTAACACACAAAAGAAACCAAATAATCCAGTGAAGAAAAGGGCAGAAGACATGAACAGATACTTTCTCAAAGAAGACATCCAGATGGCTAACAGACACATGAAAAGATGTTCAACATCACTCATTAGGGAAATAAAAATCAAAGCCACAATGAGCTACTAACTCACACCTGTCAAAATGGCTAAAATTAACAACTCAGGAAACAACAGATGTTGGCAAGGCTATGGAGAAAAGGGAGCCCTTTTGCACTACTGGTGGGAATGCAAACTGGTGCAGCCACTTCGGAAAACAGTGTGGAATTTCCTCAAAAAATTAGAAATAGAACTATCCTATGATCCAACAATTACACTACTAGGTATTTATCCAAAGGATACAAAAATGTTGATTCAAAGGGGCACATGCACCCTAATGTTTATGGCAGCACTATCAACAATAGCCAAATTATGGAAAGAGTCCAAATGTCCATCAACTGATGAATGAGTATAGAAGATGTGATATATACGGAGGATGAAATTTTACTCAGCAATCAAAAAGAATGAAATCTTGCCCTTTACAACAATGTGGATGACACTAGAATGTATTATGCTAAGTGAAATAAGTCAATCAGAGACAGATAAATATATGATTTCACTTCTATGTGGAATTTAAGAAACAAAACAGATGAACATAGGGAAAGAGAAAGAAAAGTAAGATAAAAACAGAGAGGGAGGCAAACCATAAGAGACTCTTAAATATAGAGAACAGGGGATTGCTGTAGGGATGATGGGTGAGTGGGAGGATGGGCTTATGGGCATTAAGGAGGGGCCTTGATGGGATGAGCACTGGGTGTTTTACATAAGGGGTAAATCACTAAAGTTTACTCCTGAAACAGAGAGAGAGAGGAGAGAGAAGGTAATTAAGGTAGAATGGGGTAATAAGGGTGGGGCCCTGATCCAATAGGATTAGAGACCTTATAAAAAGAGGCATAAAAGAACTAGCTCTCTTTTCTCTCCTTCACGTGAGCATACAGTGAGGAGGCAGCTATCTGCCAATTAGGAAGAAAGCTCTCACCAGAAACTGAATCCGCTGGGACCTTGACGTTAGACTTCCCAGCCTCCAGAACGGTCAGAAATTAAAAAAAAAAAAAAAAAAAAAAAAAGGCAGCCTTTTCCAATGTTGGACAGCTTTGGGTATTAGGAAGTTCTTCCCATGATCCTAGTTCTGCTTCTAGAGCAGTTCATTATAAATCCTTTTCCTTTTTTAAAATTTATTATTTAAGTATAATTAACATACAGTGTTATATTCATTTCAGATGTACAATATAGCAATTCAACATTTTGACACATTTCTCAGTACTCCTCAAGATAAGTGTACTCTTAATCTCTTTGGTCTATTACATCCATCCATCCAGCCACTCCCCTCCCCTCTGGTGACCACCAGTTTGTTCTCTGTATTCGAGCCTAGTTTTTTGGTTTGTTTTCTTTCTTAAATTCCATACATGAGTGAAATCAAATGGCATTTGTCTTTCTCTGACTGACTTATTTCATTTAACACTATATTCTCTAAGTCCATCCATGTTGTTACAAATGCCAAGATTTCATTCTTTTTTATGACTGAGTAATTTAAAAAAATGGGCAGAAGACCTGAATAGATGTTTTTCCAAAAAAAGACAGATAGATGGTCAACAGCCACATGAAAATATACTCAACATCACTAATTACTAGACAAAGTAGAACCCCAAGAGGATATCATTTTATACCTGTCAGAATGACTAAAATTGAAAACACAAGAAACAGTAAGTGTTGGTGAGAATGTGGAGAAAAAGGAACCCTAATACAGTGTTAGTGGGAATGCAAATTGGTGAATCCATGGTGGAAAACATTATGGATTTTCCTCAAAAAAATTAAAAATAAAATTATCACATGATTCAGTAATTCCACTACTGGGTGAAAAATGAAAACACTAATTTGAAAAAATATATGCACCCCATGTTCATTGCAATATGATTCACAATAACCAAAATATGGAAGCAACCTAATTGTCCACTGACAGATGAATGGACACAAAGATGTGGTATATATACACAACAGAATATTACTCAACCATAAAAAAGTTCATAATATTTTCTACTTCTTCTCTTTAAGCATTTACTTTTTAAAAGGTATACAGAACAAATTTGGAATTCAAATCCTGGAATCTCTATAATACCTATACTGTTAGGCTGTAGTTTGAAATACCATGTTAGCAATTTGGCTCTTTACAAAGAGGCATCTCTAACACCTTTGCTTACCAATGAGTATACCATGAAAAAACAAAATAACTCTACTTGTTTTGAGGCTCAAGGCCATAATTTTCATGGTTGAACCACTGATTCATCTGCTGTTCCATCATCCATTTTCGAATTGTTTGTGGCAGGACATTTCGGAGCATGGAGCTAAACCGGGTGTGAAACACCATGTCCCAAGGATAGCCATCTTTGGAGATACGGCTCATGATCCAGGAACCATGTCTGGTGCTGATAAAAACCTAGTAAGCAAAAAGGAATGCTGTTGAAATCAGGGCATTGTCTCTTTGGGGAGGAAACTACTGTGTAGGTGATACATCACATATATGCCTCAGAGAAGTAAGACTCCCTCTGAGTTAGATGGCCGATTAATGGCAGGGCTGGGAGGTAAACCTTGGCTTCCTGACTACCAGATTTTTTTTAATGATACCACACTGTAGGAACCAACTAACCAACCAGTTAATGAGTAATGGAACTTTGGTTATGTGACTGGGATTTTCCAATATGTCCCTCCTCCTTCCCCTCCTCCATGGTACAAGATAAGCAGAGAACATCGCACCTGAGCAGCTTTCTTACTCAGCTCCACAGCAATATCTGAGGCTGAGTTTCCTAGTCCAATCACCAGAATGTGTTTCCCCTCAAATCCCTCGGAGTGCTTGTACTGGCGGCTATGGAAATACTGGCCTTTGAACTTCTCAATACCTTCAGGGGAAGAAGAGAGAAATCCATGAATGATGTACATTTCAGTAAAAGTGCAGTTTCAACTTTTCTTTTCTGGGGTCAATTATTTGTTTTGCCTCTTCCCCTCATAAGGGAGTTGCAATGGCAAGACAGATTGACAGACTCAAAGTGTAAAGTATATAAGAAATGCTGTCATTTCTGTGCTGGCACAGGACTAAAGAGTTGATTTTAGAGACTGCAGCATATATATTTATTAGAAAATAAACAAATGGCTTCAATGAATAGAGCAGAGTCAGATGCTGGCTTCTAACTACTCATTATCTTATTTTTTAAGTTTATTATTATTTTTTTAATATTTTTGAGAGAGAGGGAGGGAGAGGGAGGGAGAGAGAGAAAGCCTGGGAGCACAAAGAATTCCAAGCAGGCTTCACACTGTTAATGCAGGCTGATAGAGGGCTCAAATCCATGAACAGTGAGATCATGACCTGAGCCAGAGTCGGATGCTCAATGGACTACCCAAGTTCCTCTATCCTATTTTGGATTGTATAGTGACACTTTAATATTGCCTAGCACATGTATTTTTTAAAATGTTATATGACATATTGTGAAGTGCTATTCTTATAATTGTATAATAATTAGAATAATATTTATTATCCTTATTTTGCAAAAGCAAACAAAAACCAAAATAGACTAAAAACAGGCACTTAGATACAGAAGGATGGTTTCTACGTTGTGGTAAGTCAGGAACTCACTGGACAAACCTTTTTGAAGACAAGTCTCTCTTTGTCTTTCTCAGGAAAATATGACTTTATTAAAGTATTTGTCTTTGATGGTGGGTTGCTTGCAAGAAACTTTATGTAATTGGTTTTCAAAGTGTGGTCCTTTGGCCAGCATTATCAGTTGGAACCTGGAAACTTGTTGGAAATGCAAATTCTCAACTTCATGACCCCTTATCTATGGAGCTGGAAATACCAGAGGAGCCTAGCAAGTTGTGATTTTAAAAGCCCACCAGGTGATTCTGTTTGAGAATCATTGCTTTAGGGTAGAAGATCTCAGGCCTGGCTGTATATTAAAATCAGTGGAGCAACACTTCATTGATCTAGGCCTACCTTATACCAGTTGAACTTTTGGGGGTCATTAGGATGTTAGAAGCTCCACAGGTGGTTTGAGTGTGAGACCTGGACTGTGAACCACTGTATTTTGGGACCATGAGGGCCCCAAGAAGGAAGTATGCTCTCTGAAAGAAGGGCCTGTGAGGTACCAGGACAGAAGGCTGTGGGGTTCCATTGACTGCATTCCTCTCCTTCATGCTTTCTGTGTCCATCAATGTCCTGTAGGAGCACCTATTGCCAGGAAATCTCCTCAATAATACTGTCTATAGATGTGGCTCTGAGGAAAAGTCTCCAAGGATATAACAAAGTCGCAGTGTTTGGTAGGATAGAGAAAGCCCAAGATAGACACATGGATCTAAGGGCCTCTCCAATGGAGAACCAATTTTGGGGGAAAGTTCTCTGAAATTCCAGGGAAGATTTAGTGACTTTGGAAGAAGTTGGCTGAAGTCCTTGTGTCATGGAGACCCAAAAAGTTCAAAGGAACAAAGATGGTGTGTGGAGCCTTTCATCTTTCTAGTTCTATCAAGATCTTAATAAAAAAAAAAAAAAAAAAAAAAAAGATCTTAATATTATGTCCAGTTGCAGTTGCTAATTTTTCCTGTCAATCTAACCTGCATATGAAATCCCTGGACACTGTCGGGCAGCCAGATTCATCACCTCGAAATGTGTCTCCTTGGCATGGGAATTATTTTAGGCTAATAATTTTTTTTTTTATTGTCAAGATGAACGTTTAATCTAGTGACTAAAATTTCTATACATTTGGCATTTTCACAGAAGACAGAAATGCAGGCAATAATCCAACAATCCAAATCACAAAGAGACCCTCGGTGCAATGGATTTGAAATAAACACAATAGTTTATCAGAATGACTGAGAAAATACCCATTGATAGTACTGGCTCCTAAACTCTGGCCCAATTGCTAATATGCTTAGGCTAATAATTTTTAAGAAACAGAAGGAGGAAAACCTTTGACTTCCCTCAACTGCCTAAAATAATTTATACAGAGGAGCTGCTCCCGGAAGGGAGCTGTCTCTGTAAATAACTACTGTATAATATAAACTAGGGAGACAAGAAGGAACTTAGCAAAGTCTGTTTGTTAAAATTCCTCTCTGTGTCCCATTGTTTCTGGATGGTCTAGCAAACAGTAGTTTGCTTTTTCACCTTTCAGTGAAACAACTTCCTTCCCTTTGAAGTCCCCAACCCCTGCTCCCTTCTCTTTAGCTCAGAATGGCACATAAGCCTCATTTGCCTGACTGCCTGTGGGCCTCATATCCTTATGGAGTCTCTATGTGTGTAATTAAATTAAATTTTTTCCTATTACTCTGTCTCATGTCAATTTAACTCTTAGACGAGCCAAACGAATGTGGAAGGGTAGAGAAATAATTTTCCTCCCCAACAAGACCTGCTCCGAAAAGCTGGGAATCCCTGTAGGCCTCACCTGGAAAGGACTCCAGTGGGATGTGAGGGAGGATGTGATGGCCACTGCAAACCATAACCGCATCAAAGACAGCACTTTGCTTCTTGCTGTTGCTCTCGGTAACAATCTCCCATTGGCCAGAGAATGAGAAATCTGGGTGTTTTTTCACACTGAGGACAGTTGTCTTGGATGAACACAGAGAAAGCATCATTGAGCATTACTATGGCATAACAGAATGGGGATGGGTAGACTCCTCTCAGTTTCATTTGAATCCATTTCAAGTCACTTAAGACAGAGACTGCTAAGTGTCCCCTTCTCATTCTTCTTTGGTAAGGAGCTACCAAGGACGTGGTCCTTTGCACAAGAGGCCTGACTCAGCAGTGGAAACTTGTCTGTTAAGGACTAAATAAGGACTTGAGAGAGACACATAAAAGAAAGACAAGTCCTGGGCAAGATATAAAACACACATTTGTTATTCAAGTGAGCACACAGTCAGTATTTATTAAGAACCTTTTTTGTGTCTGCCTCTGTGCAGACTCTGTATTAGAGAAGATATCTCATGTGAAGCATTTTGCATAGCGTCTAGCACATTGTCAGCATCCCATGAATGGTAGCTGTTCATATTTATTATTTTTAAAACAAAGGATACCATGTTAGTAATATAGGTCATGATCTCATTTGGATTAAATAATTTGTGTTCACTAATTTTTTAATAGAAACTCCTTTTTTACAAGTTTATTTTTGAGAGAGAGAAAGAGAGAAAATCCCAGGCAGGTTCTGCACTGTGGGCACAGAGCCTGACGTGGGACTCAAACTTACGAACCATGAGATCATGACCTGAGCTGAAATTAAGATGCTTAACTGACTGAGCCACCCAGGCACCCCCATTAATTTTTTTTAAAATGTAGTTCACTGGAGGTCTATGAATTTGTAAAAGTGCACATAAAGGTTATACAATTTTGGTGTTTAAGAAACAATGTCAAGTGGAGGCAAAGTTTTTCTTAGTTCTAGAGTCATGGCATGCTTCTCTTGCTTACAAGTATTTAAGTCCCATGTGCATGCTTTCCAAATTTCAAATATTTTTTAAAATGCTGGGTTGGCAATTTTTGAAGCTGTTCCACTTTCACTATATGTACTATTAGTATAAAGTTTGTGAATGTACTATAAAGTGTCTGGGTATTGTTGGCTAAGAGTAAAGATTTCAGATTTGCAGTTTAGGGTAGTACATTAGCTAAAATACTGTGGGTTATTGCTACTAAAAATATGCTTTGAGAACTAACACCTTCAGGACAACTCAGGAGGCTGTTAGAAATGCAAAAGAGCTTTTACAGATTGAGTGGAGCCCTAATATTTTACAGCATGTACCAAGAGACTAACAATGGAAATGAGTGTTCCTAACCCCTCTCTAATCTCCAGGAATCCAACAACAGTAACACAAGAAACAAAAGAAACAGCTCCCTTGCAACTTTAACATGACCTTTTAAAGAAAACGTAATATAAATAACAATATAAGAGGGCAATATATCTGTTAAATAAATTGATTGTCAAATGGACAAAGACCTATTAAAGCTTCTGGTACAAAAATTTTTGTTAGTCATAGAGTGGTTTTGCCAGGAATTGGGGAAAACTACATCAGATACATTTTCATGGTATTTACAAATATAGAATTCAGCTACTATGAATTAATATAATATAAACCTGGACTAAAACTGAAATTACTGAGAAAATGAGATGTGTTACAAGAAAATAAGCTCTACTCACAGTTAATATAATTTAATTTTATTTCCTAAGCACAGTTACTAGTTTTCAGAGTGTAGGTTATTGATAAAAATTCAGCATGTATAGTGAGAATATGGGTTTTTGCTTGTTTATTGTTTTTGAGGGAACACAGGAAAGGTAGTTCTAATTGTATCTAAAAATGACCCAGCCAGCCTTATGTTGCCAGACAATGTACCATGCCCCCCCTAACACCAAAAATAGATTCTATAGGCTTATGAAATGAACGGAGAGCTGTGAGCTTATTTCGTACATATTTCTTTTTCTTAATTACCAGAGTAACTTCTCTATTTAAATGTGGGTTGAACCCAGTAGAGAAAACCATTCCCCCAAAAATACAATACCTGAAACTGAATATATTTCAGAAGATCAAACTTTCTGGCAAAGATCCTGAAATATTCCAGGAGCTTAGAATTGTGCAGGAAGTTTGGAAAGTCTTCAGGCATTGGAAAGTCACTGAAACAGGACATTTCTTTGCTGGTGTTGGTGATGACAGATTGATAGATACTTGCTCGGCCGTCTTCAACATATTCCTGAAGAATCAAACCGAAAACAGTGATAATCATGTTGCATTAAAACGACCTCTTGGTGTTTTACTCTTCTTCCGAGTCTAGCCCTTGGGCTATGTGATCCTCTTTCACTGCTGTAAGAGGGACTGCAGTGTCTGTGTGCTGAGTTGCAGCATATGTGCTCCATCCTCCAGTGTGATAGGGCCTTGATGGGGTTCTCCAGTGTTTTTCACTGGAGGGGCTACTGCCACTGGTGGATTGGAAGTGGGGACAATCCTCCTTTTGTCACTTTGCAGGATATTAGGCAACCCTCTACCTATTAAATGCCAGCCACTGTGACAAATAGCCCCATTCCGGACCTCCTCCCAGGGAGGCTAGCCCCACCTTCCACCTCTTTAGAAACCAATAAACTCTGGGATACTGGTCAGAAAGTATACTGGGGAATTTCCACTAAAATGAATGCTTCTGGGAGCAGGTAGTTTTCACATCTTAACTTGAACAGCCCACCTTCATTTTACACCTTACGCAAATCAACCTTCCTCAAGGGATAAAAGTGAACAGCAGAAGCATCAATCAAATCTTCAACTTGAAATTAAATTTTAGCCAGTATACTTATGGAGGCAGCATGTGCTATGGTTGAGTTTATAATTTCCTCTAAGCGCTGTGCATACTGATAATGCTCTTTATGTTAAATTACATAAGAACTACGTGTGGTGATTCAATGTCCCTGAAATTAGCATGTTATCAAAGAGATGTGCACAAGAAAATTTAAGTGGCACCACCCAGGAAGTCCTCAATTAATGCTTCTGCAGGCTAAGGCATCATCTAGGCAAATAGTAGTTGCTATTATAACTCAACATTAGGATGCAATGTAATGAAATGGAAAAGTTGCAGGAACTCATAAACTCATTGGAGTAAATTACTCAATGATTCACAAACAGCATTCTGTAGTTTCCACAGAATAACAAATAAAGGCAAGTAAATACTCAACTCTAATCCTGCCACCATAATAAATCAACTGTGCATGTTTCTCTCTCATCATTATTCAGGAAAAATTATTACTTTTCCTGCCAAACCTTTAGATCAAGGCTTCTTAGTTTGTGGGCAGCATTGAAAGAGGCAGCCTGAACTAGCTGAAGGAATCTAGTCTTTGGAGTTAGACACATCTCTCTTTAGACTGTGTGGCCTAGACCCACCAGTGCAGTGAGGTTCAGTCTTTTCATCTATAAAGTGGGGATGTACTAGATGCTCAATAGTGCTATTTTAAAATTTTTTACTTTTTTAAAATTTCTTTTTAATGTTTATTTTTGGGAGAGAGAGAGAGACAAAGTGTGAGCTGGGGAGGGGCAGAGAGAGAGGGAGACAGAATCTAAAGCAGGCTCCAGGCTCTGAGCTGTCAGCACAGAGTCCAACACAGGGCTTGAACTCATGAACCATGAGATCATGACCTGAGCTGAAGTTGGCGCTTCACTGACTGAGCCACGCAGGTGCCTGTTGTCTGTGTTATTAAGGAAGCTACAAGCTTCAGCCAAGCTGTCGATTACAGCTCCCTGTTCACTGCAGTATATGAAAGGCCCCGAGGGTAGCTTTCCTCACAGCAAGATTACCGACACAGGTACATTCACCATCACACCTGAGTTTTCTGCACAAGAGGTTGTATTTGATTTCAAAGACTTAAAAAAGAATAAACCATGGGTTCTTTCCTCTTTTATCAGCAAAGCTATTTATATGCAGTGGTCTCACTGTGTCCTAATTTCAGGATTATCAGTACCAGTATGAGTTACCAAAGGTAAAACAACGTTTGTGCTCAGACCATGTCATTTAAGAGTGGTATGCAGAATGCTTGCTAAATAAGTTTACATTTCTAAGGATCCATCTGCTTCACACATTCCTTGACTCTCCTTCTCATTCATCCATCCATCCATCCATCCATCCATCCACCCATCCATCCATTCATGTCTACCACAGACCAGGAGCCAAATGCCTTATTGAACATGACCAATGTGTCTAACTCTCCTAGTCCAGGGTCAAGGCTCAGATTGTACCGTTGTTTCAGTTTCAAGTGGCTTGATAAAAGCTGGTCAGTGTAGGGTCAGCCAGCTTTCTAGGAGATTAGAGTCTGGTGTGATGTTAACTGTATGTAAGTGTTTGAATGCCAAGGGAATTTGCGTAAGAATATGAAGTGGTTTCTGTGTCATACACAAAGATACAATGACCCCAAACTCTGGATTAATAAATCATGGTATTTAAATTTTCAAACACTAGCCTCAAATTGTATAAGACTAGGGTCAAACTGATACTTCTGGATGTTTCAACGTGGTTGAATACAATGTCCTTGGTGAGACTAAATGTCTGACTTTCTTATCCAACCAAATTCTCAAACTTGGAAATGCAGTTGACCCTTGAACAACATAGGTTTGAACTGCAAGGGTCCACTTATACCTAGATGTTTTATAGTATAGTACTTCTAATTTTCTTAATAATATTTTCTTTTCTCTAGCTTGCTTTAGTGTAAGAATACAGTATATAATACATATAACATACAAAATATATGTTAATGTGTTGCAGAATCCAGTCTGGGCCACCTGGCAGAAGAACCAAGTGGCACTCGGAGATCTTGGAAGGGAGGAGGTTTATCTTACACCGGTAGGCTCAGAGGAGATCATTCTCCAAATGTCTGAGCTCAAAGCATCTACAGAGGGAATAATTTATAGCCTGTTACTTCCACATTCCTCATTAATGCATGTGACAAGCAGGGTGGGAAGAAGAACCTGGCAGGGAGAGCCTTTGGTCAGGGATAAGTATTTCCTTATCAGTCCTGTTGGCCATCTTATAACAGATTTTTCCCTATCAAATTGACTATGTTATTGGTAAGGCTTCTGGTCAACAGTAGGCTATTCGTAGTTATGTTCTAGGGGAGCAAAAAAGTTTGTTTTAAAGTGTATTTATTTATTTTGAGAGAGAGAGTATGTATAGGAGAGGCAGAATCCCAAGTAGGCTCCTCACTGTCAATGCAAGGAACCTGATGTGGGGCTTGAACTCAGGAACCTGTGAGATCATGACCTGAGCTGAAATCAAGAGTTGGATGCTTAACTGACTGAGCCGCCCAAGCATCCCAAAGGAGGAGCCAACGTTTATAAACGGATTTTTTACTGTTTGGGAGTCAGTGCCCCAATCCCCCTGCTCTTCAAGGGTCAACTGTATTTCACGAAGCAAAGAGATACCAATTATTTTTTCCTCAAGATCAGATAATTTTATAAGTGGCACAGAGTAAATGTGAGAGCTCTGAGACCAAACTGGATTGATAGCCTGATTCTACCACCATTAATGGCTGTATAGCTATGGGCAAGTTATATAAGTCAGTTTCCTCATTTTCTCCTGTAATTTGGGGTTTGTTAACAATTCCAACATTGATAAACTGTTATCAGGCTGAGATTAGGTGGTGTTTAGCACAATACCTGACTAAATAAGTGTCCAACACATGTCTGCCTCGATTGCTGTTATTATAGATCATGAGGATTAATCTCACTAAACTAGTCATAGTCTTCAAAAAGCTAAGCTAAGATTGTTATAGTATAACCAACATGGTAGTTTTTTTCCTGTGGCAATAAAGTGGCTTTCCAATGTGGTTAGCTCCTCTGTCAGGTCAATTTTAAGGGACTCTGGAAACACGAGAAGGACTGCTTCTGATATCTGAACCCCTACAGTAGTTTCAGAACCAGAGCAAGATTCTCCTCTGGGAGTTTTACTGGTGTAATTGTCAGCAATTGATGATAACATCACAACTTTTTCCCTGAAGATCAAGTAATAATCTTTTTTATGGTTGATTGGTATATAGCTGTTAAAAAAAGCTTTGTTTCTATGTTGGCTTCCTCTGTGTTGGCTGAAGTAGATGTTTACGTGTTTAGACAAATCCAGGTAAAACTGGTTTTGCTGAGGTTGAAATGGGAGAATGATTCTTGTTAATAAACAAATACCTATCAAGTATCTTTCCTGTCCAGGCTCTGAGCTTGGAGTTAGGAACCAAATGCAAATAAGACACAGAGTTTCTATCTCCAGGGAGTTTGTTATTACGTTGGAAAAAAAAAAAAGGCATTTGGGCTTTGGGGATGGAAAAGCGGAGACAGAATAAAGTGAGAAGCTTTCCTCTCAACCAAGACAAAGACAGGGAGACACAGCTTTCAAAAACAGATAAACATAACTCATATTTATTTAAAATAGAAACAGTGCCTAAAAATGATACTTAAGCACAAATACTGTTAGTCTGAATTTCCCAGCAGACAGAATTTGCTACAATTTACCTGTTTCAGATAAATGATAGTATGATAAAGTATTTTCCTAATACAGAATTTTCTGAATGTCAGAAGGCTATACAGCAAAATCAAATTAGTTCAGACAGCACTGATTTAGAGTTTATGACCTTTTTGTCATAGATGGGACTGAAGTTTATCTTTCACTCTGTAAAAATAAAAAGGTTACAAAAAGCAATCTAATTTTGAGGAAAATTTTAACGGTATTATTTACCCTACTAGAGGGAGGAAACTTACATAGTGAAACTAGATTCGACTTATTATAAATGTGAATTACAAAAACTTATACATTAGTCTTTTTTTGGGTTCAAGTTAGTCATTTTCATTGTGAAACATTATCATATTGACCTTGACCAGTAAATATGTGGCTAGTTGCTCTAAGCAATTGGAAATAATAAAATTATATTTCTTTAAAAATTTCTACCATTCCAAATTTTTGATTTTTCTGGTAGAACTTACATCTATCTGCTCCATTGTCTGATATGAATATGACTGAAACTATTTTATGTTCTTGTCTTAAAATTATGGTTCCCAAGGCCATTCACTGGACTATTGCATTAGAAGATTTAGGGGAGCTTTGAAAAACATAAAGTTTGAGTAGGTCTGGTTTGGGTCCATTCATCTGTATTTAAGAAGTGCTTCCCAGCTCATGTGGCTGGGTGGCTCAGTCTATTAATCATTGGCCTCTTGGTTTCCACTCAGGTCATGACCTCA